GCACTATAAGCTCTTTTTAGTACCACCCAAAACCTCAAGGTATAAATCCTCCCCCGAGCAATCAAAATGACGAAAATGTATTAAAGATCCTTTCATTAAAAAAAGACCATATGCAGAGAAAAGCAAACCCAAACTCTACCTACTGCTAACATACCACTGGACATACAAAAACCCCAAAGAAATACCTAGTGACAAACCAGCCCAGTAATCACATGCTGGAATACAGCCTCTGGAAAGACCAAACAGCGCTGCCCACCCTCTGCAGCTCCAACCTGCTGCCCCAGCAACAGGGGAACAAGGGGCCCTCAGACATCAAGGGAGGAGGGGAAAATGTGAAGCTGTAGAGGGAAGAGTAGAAGGGTAATAATGCATTTAAGATTTCAACAGAAGACTTTAAAATAAAAAACAAAACAAACCCAAAAACAGCCACAAAAAGCATGCTAAACCCATGGTGGATTACACTCCCAGACCTCCCTGCATCCTGCAGCCAATGCTTTCACCTTCTACACAGCTACAAGGGAAAGGTTTTAGATTTCCAAAAAGAAAAACGTCACCATCAGCTGCAACTATGGATTTGAAGTCTGGAAAGCTGAAGTATTTTCAGAAGTATTTCAACACTGACTCCAAGTAAGCATTCTCTTTCAATGGCAGGGGAACATTCTTGTCTCAGACTTTCTCACCAAAGTACAGTAAAACTGAACTGATTCTTGGTCAAATATGTCATAATTAACTCACTCCCACGCCACATGGCAAAAATCTGTTCTGCCTTCAGCAGCTCACATACTACTCAAGAAGAAATTACCCTGGGTATTTTTAAGCATAGCTGCAAGTTACCCAATATTATTAAAGTGGCATCTGTTACAGCAAGATTAAAATGGTTTGAGTTGTTTGGGTTTTTTTAAGAATTATTATCCCAGCACTACTTCAAAGATGTAGGATACACAGCAGCATTTGGATGTGCTGCAGTAGAGTTCTTCAAATTATTTTTAAATGGGCCCCTGCCTTAAGTATTCTGCCAATAGAGAAGAGCCTCAGTTTGAAACAAACTTTAAAACCACTACTTAGAAACCCAAAAGGAGTGGTTATTTGCTTCATATCCCATAAACTGTAATTTACTATATTAGTAATAGCTAAAACTTTCAGCTTCTGAATGTCTTAAAGTATATACTGTTCCTTATATTCTTCAAGATTTTGCATTTGAAATATGCAAGTTACCAGAAAGGATTTGGACAATTTAAAACATAAGTTTTGCTTTACAGCTGTTGTTGTTTTCCTTCCTCTCAGCTTCCCAAGTATACACAGCACTCTCACCCAGTCTGGAACAGGAGAGATTAAAAAGGTGAGGAACAATTATGTTATAATCCTGCACTTCACAGAACATCTTAAATAATAGTATAGTGCTAGAATATCAGGTAAGTACCACAGAGTAGCAGATAAGATTGAAGAGTGGGTGTAAAATAGCTGAGCTGCTATTAAGCTGAACATTACATTTACTCTAAACAGCTGGTTTTTGAGTCCAGGGTATCTTTGAAGGTATAATATTTCTAATTAAGACTGAAGAAACTTGTATTATACAGGACTCATTATGCATTTTATTACTGCCCATTCTCATTATCCTGCTTAGTTTCTACAAGGTCCAATAACAAGGTATACATTAGCTAAGCCCTGTTTGAAGTAGCTTTAGTGTTCTGTACTCCTAGCACAAAATGTCATGACTCAGATTCATGTAATCAAAACTGCAAACCACTTGCTTCAATATTGTGTAACAATTTCATGATGAAATTGTTTTGCTAATGACCTCCTTAAACTGCAAGCATTGAAAATCAGTATCTTATATTCTTATTATTGTTATCAACATAAAACCTGAGCTCAGCTTTGCCTAAACCCCTAAAAAAAAGTTTAATAACAAGTCAGGCCTAGTTACCATTCCACATTTGTGCTCTCCCCCTCCTCCATACATGTCATGAATGGAGAAGGGGAAAACAAAATGTTTGATTCACATCAGTGAACCTGAACCATAAGTAGTTTGGGAATTACAATGAGGGAGCAGCGATGCATTGGAAATCACTCCACCACCCTCGGCAGTTTGGAGAACACAGCTGAGTCACAGAACACAATATGCCACTTAAGCAAACAAAAACAAAAAGCAAACAATCCAAAGCTGGGAAGTGTTTTCCTTCCAATAAAACTGTGGTTCAGGGAGAAGAGATGAAGTTCTCTACCTGTCAGAATGAAATACCGAGGGGATAGCTCCTTTCTAGGAAGTTAAGGGTAAATACATCTGCTAAATATTTTCCTTAAGAATGGATTTAGCCACAGAGCACTTTTTCAGGCAGAGAGACTGAAAAAATGAGATGCAGTAAGAAAGACAGCACGCAGTTCTGCTAAGTCTCCAAAAGTATTAAAAATATAAATTACCTAAAGGCACACTACACCTCTTCAGGAGACAAGAGGTTTAAGACTGAAGCTTTATTTTCACTACTTATTGGAATGTGAAAATGTTTTTTCTGGATTACAGAAAACTTCTTAAATATTAAAATAAAAGCTTTATTACCATAGAAACCAATAAGCTGTTTAAAGAATACAGTTCTAAAATTGTGCTTGCTATAGCTCAGACATGATTTCATATGTGAAAATAAACAGCTATCCTTATAATCAAGAGTTTTAAATCATTCCTGAGAAACAGACATACCACCAATTTACAGTGCTAAATTCAAGTCTGACAAGCTGCTTTTAGCCTGGACTATTCCAAAATCTGTTCACCCCTTCATGAGCCCCTACAAGTGATAAGTGTCCACACCCCATCTACCCTCCTGCTATATACCAGCAATATTTTATACTGCTTTCACAGAAAACTATTAGGCCTTGTATAATTTTGTGTTTCTCATTAGGACTATAAAGATGCTTGATTTCCTGGCAAAGCCCATGGTTTTTTGCACAGAGCTGTTTCTGCTTCCTTTTAATGCATTTCATTTCCAGAAAACTTCAATTCCCAACAAAAGCCAGCAGCTGTTATGCCTCTCACTCCTCTGCAACTTGTAATAGGGAAGGAAAAAACCCCAAGCACAGGGTTGTAGATACTTTGCTGCAGCAACAGTAAGCAAAATGCTTATCATAAACACAATTTCTAAACACAGTATCTCTTGTAAAATATTTTTCAATGTAATATTTACAATACAGCTGAAAGGAAAATATATTTGTTCTTTTTTCATCCTAATTATGTAAAAAAAAATTACTTTATAACACAGATTTCAGTCATATAAGGGGAATAAGAACAAGTTTAAAATTCTGCTGGTTTTGGAGGTGCTTTAAAAAAAAACATGAAAAAACAAACAAATTAGCTGCAGCAATCAGTGTGCCTCTGACTGCAGATTTAGCAGACAAATCTTTGAAGTGCTGAAAGACTGACTTTGGAAGAAAGCACTTCTTGGACTGGCAACTTTCAACGTCTTCTAAATTTGATTCCAACCAACAAAACAAAGCAGAGGAAAAAAAACCACTAAGGCAAACCACACATTTCTGAGCAGCCCCAAGCAGTGCTGCCAGACTCTGAATGGCATGCGAGCTGAGTCAGGCTTCTACTTTCCACTAGTAAAAGCTACACAATTTTAAGCTCCTGCAACACCTTCTACCTTTAGAAACTTAATTTTAAAGCAAAACTAGAAAAAAAATCCTTCCAGTGTTCAAGATTGTAACTAAAAATATTAAAAATATAAAAGTCAGCAGCAGCCTGCCCCCTTACTGCTTTATCTGTGGACAGAGTAGACAAGTATCAATGTCCAACCATGATTAAATATTTCCTCTTGGTATCCAACAATTACTGACTATATGTACATTTGCAAAGAGAGGAAAATATCCTTTCCAACAAAAATGGTTTTCTACCAGAGAGTGAATGACTGTAAGGAGTTCAGTGGGTCACTGGCACCAAAGCAATGCCTGTTCCTCCAGACTTCCAGCACAGCACTCACACACACACGGCCCTCAGCCGGGGGACATGCACTGACACCACTCATTACTGGCTTTGCTCCCGCCAGGAGAGCTTATCACATCAACAGGAGTGTCCCTCCTCTTCCCCATACTCTTCCTCCCCACCTGCACCGCCTTTATGTTTATGCACGCTTCAAACTGCATTACCTTAGCGCTGGGTCAGGCACTGGCAACCTGAAAGGCAGCAGCCTCCCCCAGCAGATCTCAGAGCTGGAACACTGCTCAGAGCCTGCTCCTCCTCAACCACAGGCATCCCTCACCTGCTACACAAGAGGCACATCCCAGCGAAAGGTGACAGCTCAGCTGAGCCCTAGGTGGTGAATGAGAAGGCCATGAGCTGCCTGAGCCCCCCTCCACACTGGTCAGCCAAGTCCTCAGGCTTCTCCAGAGGACACAAAGATGCTGTGAGGACCAAAGCTCACAAGCAGCCACCAAACCTTCAAGGAAAAAAAACTGAGTTCTGTTTACATAAGATTCAGCTAAATAAATCTGAGCAGATTTGAACATAAAAAAAAAAGCTGTAATATAGATTTCAACTACATTAAGAAATATATTTAAGCCTCAAATTTAGGGGTCTAAACCAAAATTAGCCATATTGAGCTTTTAAATAACAAAAATTTCAGTTCAGGGAAAAAAATGAAGAGTCATCTAGTTCTAAGAAGGGAAATAGCAAAACAGAAGTAAAGAGCTAGTCTAACCTCAGGACAAGAATTCACAACATGAAATACCATTAATGCTTATGCTAGCAAAATTAATTAAAGGGAAAAAAAAGGCAGACGACAGTTTGATAGCACCTCTGACTGCCTGGAAGAGGCACATAAATGCTTTAGGCCACATCCCCTTTCACTGCTGTTCAGCGGTTCAGATGCTGCACTACAACAAAACTGGTTGTACTAGAATAACACGGGAGATTATAAAAAGCATTTACCCCACTCTGAAGACAGCACTAAGCAGACAATCTAATTCCTATGGTTAAGCAAGCATGAAAGGGAAGTGCTTTTGAAGTTACAAACCTTTTCTCGCGTTACACTTCAGCCCATCTGATCTGCTGAAATCTATGCTTACATAAGCTCCACTGTCCAAACCTGAAGTACCATTTTGGAGATGGCAAGCTGGCGCTGTAGTATTCGCCTCACAGCTTAGAGGGTCATCACGTAAATTCAGAGCAATGTAGTTTAAGCCATTCTGAAATCCAGTTGAGGTATCCCTGGACATTTTGTTTTCCTGACCATCAGAAATGTTTTCATCCGGTTTCAACCAAACGTTGTCAAATGAGGCAGAGCTGTGTCTTTTGCTACTGTCAGTAAAGAAAGAGGATGAGGTGGTCACAGTCCCAGCAGAAGAGAATGTTTCAGAACTGTGTCTCCTTCTGCCTTGAGGGTCAGCTCGAATCACTTTCGGTCCTATAGGAGGGTCAGAGCTAGGGACAGAGAAGCTACTGCTACCAGCATATCGATCCACAATGCAGAGTCTATTAACGATGGAAGAAGGACTGTCCATCTTTCCAGCACTATCAGATTCAGTGGCAAATGGCCTTGGTGGTGTGGCTGCCATGTTGAACGTCATCTCAGTGTAGTCATCAGTCCTGTTACTTGCCGTGCTAACACATGCAGCACCAAATGAAAGCCTGGCATAGTCAGGGTTTGGTTGGTTTCTAGGAATACTGGAACTTGCATAAATTGAAATATCTGTTAGAGAGTTCGACAGTTCCTTCGCTGCTTTTGGTGACTGCACATCCAAGTCAACACTCATGTAATCAGAGAGCGGTGACTGCCTGTGGTCACTGCTGGAGCCTAGAGATGATGGAGATCCTTCTGCAGATAAGGAATAGGGCGTGTTACTCGCCTTCTCATTAAAATCAATATTGATGTATTCCCCCGGACTGGCTGGCTCGGGTGGAACTGTGCGATCGTACATCCTGGGGATGGTGTTACTCCCTCTCGTACCGAGGGGCAGTCGTGTGGGCCTGGCAGCCCTGCTCTGCCCAAGTCCTTCATCCGAACCCTTCAACGTCGGCAATTTAGAGATGCCATTAGCCAGAGTCTCACTGCTGACCCCCTTTACGTTTTCTGGTGCACCGTACAAGAGTTTTCCAGGTGAAGACATTGGAACATATTCACTGTGGTCACCATTTTGTCCTGATAATGCCTTAAAGCTTCGGGGCAAAGAAAAATATGAACTAAAACCTTTGGAAACAGAAGTGGTATGAATATAATTTGAATCACCGGGGTGCTTTGGAACTGAATTGCCAGGTGACATATCCATATACTCGTTGTTTACAATCTTCTCATTACTTCCTTTAGAAGCAAATCCAGTTAAAGGACTCCGTACAGGTGAAGAGCTGCCCTTTGGAAACATCATCATATAGCCTCGGGAGTCGACCTGAGATGGTGACCAGGAATTGTTAATCTGTTTTGGAACAGACATGCTTTTAGGAGTCATTGGCAAATAATCGCTGGTGCTGGATAGAGAAGATGCGACTCCTGGCATCATTGGCATGTACCCATCATCCCTGGCTTTACTCCTGCTTTGGTTACACATGGAATCAAGGTTAGTGTCACTGTACTCCAATTCATGGTTATCTTTGAATTTTGGTGTTTCAGAGTAAAGTAAACGTCCATGATTTCCTGCAGAATCTTCATCCAACAAAGCTGTAGTTTGCGTTGTCTTCTGCTGCACTGCCACAGAAGTTGGCTTTGTTAGAGAGTAAGCTCTTTTCCTGAAGCATTTTTCAGCCTCCATATAATCATCTCTTGAGCCATCATCTCCCTGTTGCTTATTCATGGACATGTACTCACTCAGACAGTTCTCCTCTCTGATAGGTGGTGTGTTTCCGAGGGAATCTGGTGTATTACTCCTCACCCTAAAGTACCTGAAATCTCCAGGGCTGGAGCCATACTCATCGGAAGAGATGAATCCCCCATCACTTGGGGAACCACAAACAGATGAGCTGGAAGGCCTGGTCAGCATGTCCGAAGCAGAACCATGGCCACTGCTGGAAGAAACACTGATGGGACTTGTGGTAGAGGGAAAATGAGAAACAGGCAGTGAAGCAGACCTGGTGTGGTAAGATGAGCTGAAAGCGGCTCTCACGTACCTTCCACTCCCTTCTTGCCGGCCCAAATTCATCCTTGCAGTATTCAGGTGTATCAGACTCCCAGTCACTGACCTAAAAGGTCTAGTCATGGTTCCCTCTCCTTCACTGGAGGTTCTGAAGCGATAGGAGTTGTTGCTTTTGGTGGTAGGAGGAGTGCCTCCAGCAACGCTCTCAGTTCTAGATCTTCTCTGCAAGCCTGTCTGGCTGGGGGGTAGGTTGCCCAAGTGCCTTCTGGTGGTGATGAAGGATATGGGATTGGTACCGCTGCCACCACCAGAAGACTGGCTCTTGCTTCGGGGCCTAAACTCTGCAAAGGCCTTTAGAGCTTTCATGGTATCCAGAAAAGTCTCGTGCATATTTTGGGCAACAACCGAATCATCCACTTGCATCCAGAGCTCTCCAGGCCCAATAGAGGCAGATCTGCCCACTTCAATGAAGAAGAAATTCTCTGAGTGTCCGCAGCGGCGAATGTTCATAAGCTGCAAGTGAACAGAGGGCACCTCCGAGTTCAGCTTGACAAGGTGGATGGCCTTGCTGGAGAGGCACAACCTGTACACTCCAGTGAGGTTTTTCGTTTGTCCCAAGCCTTTGGGCTTCACGTTGACCTGCCACACCTCCTTGAACACGGTGCCAGGCCTCAGGGTGGCCCCGTAGTGCTCATCATCCTCATCCACCTGCTGATCGGCATGGTCCTCCTGCTCCAGGAAGCCCCTCTTGCTCTGATTCATGAGCTCGCTGATGGCTTGGTACCAGGCCTCCTGCTCGGCTTCGTTCTCGGCCAGCATGGCGAAGTACTCGTCCTTGGTGTACAGGGCGATGATGTGCTTGTGCTTAGCGTCGGCGCGGCGGCTCACGGTGAAGCACTGGTACAGGGGGATGACCCGCTTGGGCGGGGGGCAGCACAGCGCGGCCGCCCCGCCGGCCCCCGCCGCCCGCAGGCTGCTCTTGAACTTCTTCTCGCTGTCATAGTACTCCAGCCGGGCGGGGGCCAGGTGGCTCTCGGCCCGCAGGACGAAGTAACGCTTGTGCCCGTGCTTCTGCTTCCGCAGGTACCCGCATTTCCTCACGTCCTCGCCGGCGCCGCGGCCCGCCGGGGGGGGCTGCCCGCCGCGGCCCGCCGAGGGAACGGCCCGGCCGGGCGCGGGGGCGGCCTCGGGCGCCGGGCACAGCGAGGCGCTGGGCGAGCGCCGCAGCAGCAGCAGCAGGTGGTGCGGCTGAGGGGACGGGCAGCGCCCGCCCTCGCCCGCCGCCGGCTCCCCCTCGCCCGCCGCCGCGCCGAGCACGCCGGGCTCCTGCTGGGGCGCGGCTCCGCCTCCCGTGTGCCGGGCGCCCAGCTCCTCCTCGCTGCCGCCGCCGCCGCCGCCGGCCGGGCCATTCATCCCGCTCGCCATCTTAGGGGCCACGCAGGGTCCGGTGCCGCCGGGGACGCGGCACAGGGCGGGCAGCGGGAATCCGCGCTCACCGGAGAAGCGCCCCGTGCATGGGAAGCGGGCGGTGCCTCCTGCGCCCCCAGCCCGGTCCGCGCTCCCCCCGGTCGCTCCGGCCACTCGCACTCACGGGCGGCGGCGGCGGCACCGCGGCGAAAACATCACGTGACTCCGCGGAGGGCGGGGCGGCGGCGGGCGGGGCGCCCGGCGCGCGGGGCGAGGGGGCAGCGGCGAGCCGACCGGGCCGCGCGCCAGAGTGGCAGTGGCAGAGCCAATAGGAAACTGCAGTCCTTCGGCAGCGAGCCAATCAGCGGGCGGCGCAAGAAGGAGAGGCGGGCTTCGCTGCGCCCTGTCCGGGGAGGCGGGGTTACGAAGGACGGACAACAAGGCGGACCAATGGGAGGCGGCGGCCGCCCCGGGCTGGCCGCGATCTGCAGGGGTGTTTCCTGTGCTGGGGAAAGAGGCGGGGCCGACCGTGATTGGCAGTAGTGTTGAGCGGTCGGTCCGACAGCCAATCCACGCCTCACACACACAGACGGGGGAGGCAAGGCGGGGGAGCTGTGTATTCGGCGGCGAGAGTAAGGGGGAAGGAGGGGCGCTGAGAAGATGGGCAGGCAGTTTGCCTAATCAGCGCAAAGCCCCTGCTGACGAACACTACCGGCTGACGTTGCGTTCGCCCGGTTCCTTCGGGGCGGGGCCCGCCCCTAGCGCGCGGAGCTGGCGGCGGCTGCCATTGGCCGGGGGGGAGGGCGCGCGGGGGGGTGGGGACGGAGCGCGCGCCGCAGAGGAAGTAAACAACTCGCCAGCGCGAGCGGCCGGTGCGAAGGCGGGGGGCGTGAGGGACTGCGCGTGACTCCCCCTCAGGGCGCCATGTCCGACCCCGGGGTTCTGCCTCACTCGCCCTCACGGACTCCACAGATCTTCTCAGCCTCTAAAAGCCACTCACAATACCCGCAGACTCTGTCATAGCCCCCACACAGCCCCTCAAAACCCTCACAGACTCTAATAACCCCCCTCAAAGCCCTCACAGATTCTCTCATAGCCTCCTCAGGATCCTCACAAGCCCCCACAGCACCCTCAGAACCCTCACAGCCCCCTCACGCCTCGCTTCCTGCGCTGGCAGAGGCAGCGAGGTGTTGGTGACGTGCAGTGGGTTGTTTATTTTCGAATCCCTGCTGTGCTGTGTCACCCTTGTCTCGGGTGCGGGACTGCCCGCCGCCAGTCGCAGTGGGGTGACAATCCGCGTTACTCCTGTGACCGCTGGGCAATCATTGCCTGTGGGATCCGAGCAGGCCACTGACATAATTCCTAGGGTTTAGGTCAAAATACGAAGAGTGAAGAGCAAAATCATTCTGTTTCACGGTTAATGGGCATTTCTGTGACGTAAAAATCTCCGCTCCCTTTAGATGAATTGCATTGATTAAATACAGCGCTGGATGTTACTACGTGTACACCTGCCCCACCGTTTCAGAGTCAATGTTGGAGGGCGGGGAGTTCTCTCTCATTTCCAGTTCTCTCCCCACTTCCCCAACACTTTCTTCCCCTGGTACTTCATTCCTCCTTTTGCCCGCTCGCCGATGTCCTCCCAGGGGACACTGTCCAGGTTGTGGGCAGAGCACACGGCGGGTCAGTGACAGCCCTGAACCCGAGCCATGTTCCTGTGCTGTGCTGTGGGGTGCGTAAACTGCAGGGCAGGGCAGGGTGTTGGCCACGGATGCTGTTCCTGGTGCCTTCTCACTCCCTGCCAAAGGTACGTTTTATTTGAGTTAGGAGACTGGTATTTGTCTACCAGTCACGTCAAGTGTAAAAATAATCCTTTTCCTGTAATACAACAGCAAAGATAATTTCCCTAGCCAGTAATTTTGACCACACATCTCTTTACTTTCTGTCTTGATTTGCTTTCAAGGTCATTCTTGGACTCCCTCCCCTATGATTCATTATGAGATGACAACTCTCAACAATTCCTGACACCAGCTTCCATCACCAACTTGTTTTGTTTTGGGATAAATAGCCCTATGTTTTCTTTCATTCTGCCTCTCAGGTGTGGGAAAAGATATTTTTTGAAGTCCAGTAACTCAATTTGAAAGCTGACATGCCAAGCCTTGTACTTGCCACATTGATTGCTTATGTCTCATTTTTTTTCATAATTCTCTATTCACTGGCTGCTCACAGTGTTGAAGCTGCACTCTTTTGGTTTATGTTTTTACATCATCTAACATAGCATATTCCTGTACATGATTAGCAGTCCTAAGTGTTATGGCAGTGCAGTAAATAGATTGTAACTGCAGAAATGTATTTATTCCCAAAACAAGAATTATTAACTAGAATACTGAGATTAAATATAGTTTTTAAAGCCATTCAGACATGTTGGCACAAAAATACACAACTAAACTCTCCATTAGTTAATGGTGTCATGAATTAACTGTACAATTATATTGCATTATATTGTTAATAGCCCTTGGTAGAATTGAACTGGTTTCTGAAGATTAATTCCTTTTATTTTTCATTCTTTTCTACCTGGTCCATCAGTTGGGTGAGGCCGAGATTTCCTTAATTGTTTGAGTTTCATTCTGTACTTTTACATTAAAATTTAAAGTGGTTTTAAATGTATAGAGCAAGGTGAACTTTGTTCATTGCATGCTTAGTTGGGCTGGTTGCTGAAGGATATACATGGGAAGAAGAAAGGAAAACTTTTGAAAGAAAGGGCTTGGGTTCTTTTTTTTTGTTTATTTTTTTTTTAGTCATCAACCTCTGGGCTTGCTTGACAGTAACTATGAATAATCTGTCCCTGTAAGAAGAAACATATCACTGTTTTCTGGTCTCTTTTAAAGTCCTTTGCTCTTACATTGCACTTCAGTGCTTTTGCTAGGGAGTTGAGAAAGCCACCCATGCATAATTAAGTCATGCAGAATTTTGGGGTGGTGGACACATGTGATCAGACCCGGAGGGACCTGCAGAAACAGAATTATTTAAAATGGATTTTTCCACTAGGTTCTCTCTGGCTTAAAAGGAGTGCTTAGCATTCCTGAAAACTTAATTTGTTCATGTTTTCCTATGTGACTACTGAAAAATACTTACTGAAAGTACAAGGTAATCTATAATTTGCATACTCCTTCTCAACTTTCATTAGTAGAAAGAACAACTATTTGTTTTCTCTCTCTTTGAATAAATATTGTTTAGAGTCTTTTGTGCAGTTGTGGAATCAAAATTACTGGTTTCCTGTAGTAATGATTTTTTATTTTTGTAGCTTATATAAAACATTTAAGTATACCTGTTAGTGTATTATACCCTTCCATTACTGAGATAATTGTCTATGGGATTGGATCTAATTTTACTATCTTTTTTGTCACAAATGATTGTAACTTTCACAAACTTCTGTAGGTTTCTTTCTTACCATTTCTCTGGCTACTCGTCTGGCACATGGCCATAGTTCACTTTGTAAAGTCAGTGCCCCACTTTTTATATAGAATCACCTTTATAGTCTTCACTTTTGTTTACAGAAACCAACATAGCCTGTGTATGAAATGTTTCCTTAGCTGTGGGTGCATTGTCTTTCAGAGGAAGAGAAATCAAGATCCCCTCCACACGTCTCTTGATCTTCACCAGACTTGAAGAACCTGTAGTTCTTAGAGCTGCAGGTATGTTTGCTTTGTGTTTCAGGTATTTGCTCTTTCTACCCTACCAACTGTCTGCATGAAGCAGGCACTGTCAAAGGCCAAAAATTTGAAACCATTTCTTTCAGTTTCCAGTATAAGTGGCTGTAATGTGTGTAATAGAAAGCAATCAAGCTATTGGTAGTCATATTGTTGACCCAAATGGAGGGCCAAATATGTCATCTGTGGCTGAAGTACTGAGGAACAAGGAATGAGTTCCTGCAGGGATCTCTGAAATTCCACAAAGAGTGATATTATTAATTTAGTTAAGATATAAGAAGTAAATGCTTTTGGATGTGATGTTGCATGATTTATTGCTCATATATTCTAGTTACAACAGCCTGTCTTATGCCCATCCTCAGTTACATCTACAGGAGTAATTACCCAATAAAAAACAGAAAGGAAATCAGATTTGTTGAGTAGTAGAACACAATCCTGGCTCAGTCATGCTTATGACATGTTCATAAAAGAAAAGGAACTGGAGAAATTACCTCTGTAGAAATTTAGAATAAAAATATCCCAGAAGTATTTAGCAACCAAAGGATGTTAAGTGAAAGGTAAGATTCACAGTTTTTAATTGTATGTGTTACGTTTTCATTAATCATATATTTCTATGCATTTGTGCAAAATAAATTAATGTAATTGTTCATAATGTGTATTTATGGCCCAAATTCTTCCCTCATTTTTACCTTCCATCTCCAGAGTAGCCTGCTCTCATTAAGTTCTTAGCAGTTCTGCTCTCACAGCAGGTCATACGGTGATTTTTACAAAAGGCAAAGTTAGCTCACAAAATCAAAGAGAACAGTGGTTTTAAATTACCAGTTAGCATGGGTCATTCTGCAGATGGGCAAGTGTCCCTGTCCCCTGTATGTCAGTGGAATAAGAAAATGAAACTATTGTACCATTTCTTAACCAAGATCCAGAGGAGAGTAACACCCTGTGTTTAAGGTACACATAGGGAGTTCTAAGTTGTCACTTCAGTTTGCAGCAGGCTTGCCCTATTTCCTTGAGCAAATCTCTCCTTCTACCTTGTTTCAATCCCTTGGTCATTTAATGGAAATAAGAATTCCTCCCTTTCTCAAAAGAGTGTTTTAAAGATAAAATCTGTTCATGACAAAGAACCTCACACATTTTGGTATCAAGGGTTGTATAAAATTATTCTAAAGCCAGCCTGAGGGCTTCCTTCATCCCTACAGCTGTGTAGAATCCACTTTACACAGAGTGGATTCTAAGTGCTCTAAGAGTCCTCTACACATGCATTGCCCAGCATGAGCTACATGGGGTCTTATTTCTCTCATCCAGGTCTTTTTTGCTGTGCTGAAATAAGATTCTGGAACCTTCACAGCAATTGTGATGATGCTCACTTATGAAAATGTACAGATTTGAATTTAAGGTTTTCAGGCACAAAGATTAAAGGCAGACCTATTAAAGAGTTCCCAGTTTAAGTTAGAGGGAGCTGTGGGTGCTCAGCACCTCTCTGATAATGAGGATTTGGTTGTTTATTTGTTCCATTATACTCCTTTCACCATCTATCTAATCCTATCACATCATTGTCTACAGAAATACTCAGACCCTTGGTTTCTTTACTGTTTTGTATAATTGGGGATGGTGTCACCACGCAGTGAAAAGAGCCACAGAATGCTGTTTTTCAAAGGCATACACTCACATTTGCACAACGTTTTCTCACTGGGTCATGAATGAATAGTAAGATTATTCTGCCTGTTTGTTTTCCTATTGATGGATAGTTGCTGTTTGGGATGTACAGGTTTAGGATTATGTGTGATATTATGCAACTCTGCTAGTGAAAGAAACATAAATGTGCCCTTTTGTTATACACAGTTTGGCCATATGTCCAGGTCATTGAGACAGGGAAACTACTAAAGCAACCAGACTCTTACTCACTAATTTCCCAGATTGTCTTTGAAGAATAGCAGAGTGGAACAGAAACTAAAGATACCCATTTATATAACTGGAAATGAAAATGGTATCATTAATATCAGTTTTCAGCTATTCATGGTATTCTGTTATTGTAAATCAAAATCTTTTGTTTCCAGACTGAGTGCAAATGAACGAACCTTTCC